TTAATTGATCGAGAAATTACATTTTTAAATTGAATATCGATTGAATATCGATAGAATATAATCAGCAAAGAGATAGAATTAATTGGAATTTAAAAAATGTTCAAGATCTTTTTTAAGGTTTGAAAGTTTAAATCTTGAAAAATTGAACTTGCGAAAACTGTCAGTTTTAGAAAAATATAATTGACAAGAAGAAAAAGAGGACATTAATTAAGATATTAAGAATATAGCATTTTAAAAAATTTTTAGAATTTTAAATTGATGAAATTAAATTGTAAAAATTTAAAGCTTCAAAAATCAAAAACTTAGATAAACATTAAAAAATATAATTGGATAAATATGTCGAACATTGTAATTTTAAGTTATATTTATTACATACAAATTCTTTTTCATTATTTGTATCAATACGAATAAAATTAAACCATTATAGAATCAAATCAGCCACTCCGGATTGCAAGAATGAAGCTTGAAAAATTAATAAATTTTAAATTCTTATAATTATATCCAGAGAATATCTAATACAATTAGAGAATATTAATTAAAAATAATCGAAATCAATATTCTAAGCATTGTAGCTTCAAAAAACAGCTTTATTTATTATTATATTTTATATCGTTTCATCGATGATGGTATAAATTATAAACATTTGTATCATGTAATATTAGAATTAGAGATAGAAAGATTTAAATATATATTTTTTGTAATTGATCATTTTTTATGCTTTATATTATAGTATCATTACACTTATTTCTATATTATACATATATTAAATATAATTTATTAATATTTCCATCTTTTTTTATATAAATTTACGCTCACAATTAAAACTTTAATAATATCTATTAATTATCTTTAATAAAACATAATTTTAATAATATTTTGTAATAGTAAAATGTTTAATATTGATGTTTAATATTGTAAGATGAAAATATAATTATATAAGATATTGACAACAATATTAATAATAAGATGTTTAATATTTAGTAACAAAGTTATAATCATGCAATATGTAATATACGAATATATGTAATATACGAATATTGACCGATATATTATAGTAATTTTCTTAATATTTTAAGATCGTTTTAAATAATGTCTAAGAATCAATATGCTGTAATAATCTTAAAATGCTAATACACAGCCCTCTGTTGTTGGTTCACGATATCTTAAGACGATCCTATATATAAGATTCGATTTTGAGATACAATATGCATCATATACACACGCTCGGAGTAGATATTATGTATCGCGCGCCCACAGATATTCCGATATCGAAATGCATTTTAAAAAACAAAACTATGGCAATAATTATGAAAGGAAAATAAAATAACTATCATAATTAATCGTGCAATATATAATGCACGAATGTTTAGCAATATTTAGATACAATATATATTACACATACGAACACCCGGAATATGTATATCATGCGCCCATATATTTATTTCGATATCGACATTTATGATTTAATTACGTTGCATCTTTAATTTATTTATTATCCTATCCTTCCATCATGATCCTATCTATCACATTCTGCAATCGTAAATTTCGTGCAAACGTAACAGGAATTGAACAGCTCAATTAAATAATTGTCGTTTCTTTAAATTAAATATCGTAATATTACAATCCCAAGATTGGTTATCCACGATCCATGGTAGTCAGAAAGACGACTAATTTCTTCATCCCTTCTCCTCCGTCATATATCATATATAAAAGAACATTCAGACGGTTCAGTAGATAAGAGCGATATTGACTTGAATATCAGTGACTTGCATGCGAGGACATGTCTCAGTTGATTTTAATCAAATGCTAAATGTGAAAATCTAAAGTTTTCTTTCATTCACGCCATTCGACATTCGGAGTACGTTTCAATATGTTGGTTTCTCGACGATTCTGCGGATAAGGTTAGAACACGAAAATTAGATTGACGCCGTTGCGACGTAATATCGCTCGTCAGAGAAAATAGTGAAATCATTTCGTCGTTTTTCCTACGAGATGGGGAGAATTTCCGCTGGATTCACAGTTTGCTTTCATTATTAAAAAGCAAATCTCATTTAGCCGCGCACGAGTCTTAAGCGTTAATGTCGACGTAACATTTGTGGACAATGGACGGAGAGGATTCCGTAGACGTAGATGTAGACGAGGTCGTAGATGTGGACCCGCGGGAGCTGCAAGAGACTCTCCAGACATACAGGAAACTCGCGGACGATTTTGCGAACCATGACACGATTCTGAAGGTGAATACTCCAATTCATGAAAATGAAGCAAGATAGATCCCAGATAGTCAATTCTATTATATGAAAATTTTATAAAGTGTCTTATAAATTTTTCCAGCAGAATGCCAGTGGAAATATAACATAATGATAATCAATTAATAAAATACACTATTGCTCAAAAGCTATTTGCCAATCTAAATTTTTGTATGTATCTTTTATACAACTAAATTCTATTTTAATTCTACTATGTTCTCTTTATACATATAGAAATTTTAAACCATGAAACATTATTGTTAAGTCCAATATTTAAAAGATTAGGAAGAAAGATTAAAACTTTTATTCTTCTTTATTTAATTAAGAAAGATAAAATAGATAAAATTTGGAGTAGTAGTATATTATAAGAAATTAATAACAGAAACTTTGATACCTGCTATCAAATTATATATGATCGACACAGGTTTTGCTGGTCGAACAACTTTATGTCAATCTGTCATAATATGTCCTGTCCTTAAATCTGTTGGCAAACTGCTAACATTACTATCAATTACTATTAAGATTTTGTTTACTGAATACATTATTGCTGATTGGTTTATTTCAGGATAAGACAGTCTTATCATACATAGCGTACGTTTTAGAAGTACCTGATTTAGATGTGGTTAATTTAGCTCTGGATATTCTGGAGATATTTGTTAAAAATGTAGACAATTATATACACATTACATCTACTTTTGGTGTGCGCGAATCCTTGGAGGGAATTATTAACAAGTACAGCTTGAATGAACCAAAGATAGCCGGTCGAGCGCAGCATGTCAAAAATGACATAGAGCGTATGAAACCGCCTATATATAATTTGCGCAGTCGTTGCAGGCGAGTTATAGAACCCAAAAAGTTGAAAACACATGTAATAGTTTTACATGTTCAGGGTTTATTACCAGTAAGTAATAGTACCAGTAAGTAATTGTATCTATTTTATAAAGATTATGCGTTTTGCGAGTTTTCTCTGTGTCCAGATCCATTCTTGGAATGCCAACATTTCGTGAAAAAAAAACAAACCTTGCAGTTCATGATACTATCAAGCTGCTCCTCGCCCTGATGAAGTAGACTGTAAGGTTCACAAAACATTCCAAGAATGAATTTGGAGATTGATTCTGTATTTTGAAATGAAGTGAAAATTATAAAAATGAGCGAATTTATTAGAATACTGATTATTTCATTGGTTAACACCTACTAAATTTGCTCGCTTTTGTAATTTTGACTTTGTTTGAAGTTCACAGATCATTTGAAGTTGACAGAATCGAACCCCTGGACACAGAGAAAACTTACGAAATGCATAATCTTTATATAGAAAGCACCCGTGGAAGCCTCTCAAGAATATGCATCTATTTTAGTTTATTAATATCATATGTGAGAACATAATTATAAAAATAGCTAGCTATACATTGGAGAGTAATAAAATAATCAAAATAATTAGGAGACCCGAGCCGAGTTGGAAGGGATATTAATAAGAATTGAAGGTCTTATTTCGCTTGTTGTTGATGTAGAGCATCAACGTGTAACTATGCGCACTTTGAATTATGTCACCGCTAAACAGATTGCGGAAGCGATCGACAAACATACGGACAATATGGAAGCAAGATTGGTTATGAAAAACAAATTTAATCAAGAGTTTCTTGTAACATTGGTAAAGATCATTATTACAGCTATTACTATGATTTATAGTCTGTTTTTATACGATAGACGGATGTGTTTCATATTTTAAATGTAATTTTTGTTTCTAAAAAATTAAACACGATGTTTCATATTGAATATGATGAATCTTTTTCAGATACAAGTAGGCGATTCCGACAGCGAAGGATTGCCTGATTACTTGCCCGAAGAGGAAGAAGAAGATGATAAGGAGGGAGTTGTGTCATTATTTACTGGTTTAAAGCAAAGCGCTTCATCTTTATATAAATCTACCGCAGAATTTCTAAGTAGTTCATTCTATTGGTAGAATTTCTAAACTGTAAAAAAGATTGTTGTAATTACAGTTTTATTTATTTGAAATTAATTATGGTTTATCTGTCTCTTCAAGAAAGGGGTGAAAATAATCTATGTGAATAGGATTTTACATTACCTCAATAGATATAACAAAAAAAAGACTTATGTTTTAGCTATGATCAGTTAGTTGTAATTATTTAAGAATTTTTTACACTCCTATCAAGATATAATTAACAATGATTAAAGAGAAATCATTATTGATTTTCGATCAAAATTGATTTTTATGATTTATAATAAATAATACTTTATACTCTCTTCATCTGTTTTGAAAATTAACATGTACAAACTTTTAAATCTATATTTATAAAAAGAAGAGATATTTTATTTGTATACAAAATAACTTTTATTTTTCGTATTTTGACAATTGTGCATGTTCTATTTAATGATATAGCACATGTAAACCAATTATGTACACACTCGGATCTTTTATTTACGCTCTCAGAGACTTTTAATCGAATTCTAATATGATAATATGTAAATAAATAAATTCCAATGTGTGCTACATATGCATTAAAGAGCTAACATTTAACTAAATTATTAAATTTTATTCATATAAATGAGATTTCATTATAAAAGCTTCTAATGTGTAAAATGATGGATTAGATATAGATATTAAATGTATGTGATATTATATTCAAGCCATAATGCTCAACAGCTTTTGCAAATCAAATAATAAAATAAAAGAATTCGAAAACTTAATTTTTTCAATTATTTCGATGATTATTTAGATGAAGTTTATGAATTTTTCTTTGTAAAATAAATAAGTGATTCTTTAAAGTTTAATTTTCAGGAT